CCCCCCCCCCCCCCCCCCCCCCCCCCCCCCCCCCTCCACCGCTCCCAACAGGATGCGAGGCCCGCGTGCAAGGTGACGAGCATGGCGGCGAGAGGGCCGACCAAACGCACGGGAGGAGATGTTTGTGAAGATGTTCTCAAAGCAAATGCGCGAGTTGTCCCGATCCAGGCAAAGGATGGCCAGGTCCCGCTCGAGGAAGAGGAACTCCAGCACCGCGCGAGCCTGGAACACCAGGTGTCGCGGTCCGCGGTCCGCCAGCAGGGCGTCCGCCTGGCTGATGCTGGCCGGCATGCGGCTATCCGGCCGGCCTGGGGCAAGATGCCCCCCAAGGACAACCGGACCGGTGGCCGCAAAGTGGTGGACCAGCCCCAGGAAGATGGCCCGAGTGTGGTTATTCCGGTGCTGCATATATAGCGTGGGACTGGGGAGGAAGTCACTGCAGGAGGCCGCCAGCGCAGCCAGCACGACGGCCTGGTGCATGGCCCGGGCGCCGGGCGCCCCGTCAGTCGCTCCGGCAGCCCCAGCCCCGGAGGACCCGGAAAACCACCCAAACAGCGGGCCCCGAGAGGCCGGGCCCTGGAGGGCCGTGCGCTCGGTGCTGTGATACTGCACCAGGGCCAGGGCATTCGTCTTCTCGAAGGCCGACAGGGCCACAAAGAGAGCCGTCACCAGCGGCACTGATCGTTCATGGATCAGGAGCGGTGGGCTGCCGGTGGTCGCGCCCGGGCGCCGGGTCGAGGCCACCCCCGACCGAGGCCCCCCATTGGCTGGCTGCAGCCGGCAGAAGGAAATGTCCTCCGGCACGCTTTCCAGCACCAGGCCATTCAGGTCGTGTTCCAAGAACCAAGAAACCTCCTCCTCGGTCAGGGTGTCCAAATTATCCGTGCGCAGGGTGAGCAGCGGCCGCGCGGTGCCCGGTCGTGCCGGGGTCGCCAGATCATTGCTGCCGGAAGGACTCCCATTGACATCGCTGGGCGCCTCGGGGGCGGCAACATTGGCCGCGGCATCGGCCGTCCGGTAATGCTGGATCGCCTGGCGCGCCAATTCTCCGATCAAGTCATCGCCGGTGCGCACCGATGATTGGAGGGTCTGGGAAAAGGCATTGCGGATGATGCGCACGCCACTGGAGTAGTGGCGCCGCTGTGTACGTGCGTGTGTGTGTGTGTGTGCATGTGCACACAGACAACATGTGCCACAATGTCAGCGGCATCTCACCTCAGGGCAAGGGACCTCGTGGAGGGGGAATTGCGCGTGCACGTGCGCTGCTGGCGGGACCGTACCAAGTCGTCCACCTCATTGACGGCCAGGATGCCGGTCTGCGACAGGGCCGACGCCGCGTCCCAAATGGTCTTCAGCGTGTTGGAGAAGGTGAAGATATGCTCGGTAGTGAGGTCCGCCCCTTGAGGAAGGGTGCCCGTGGGCAGGGTCCCCGAGGCCAGACCAGCTAACTTCTGAGACAGTGCCAGGTGGTCGCGGATATCTGCCAGGCGGTTGAGCGAGGCGGCAAGATCTGCTCGCAGTATGTGCAGGGACAGGGCAGCTGTGAGCGCGGATGCAGCTACGACGAGGCAAAGGAAGCCAATGGAGGAGACAGGACCACAAGGCAGGAGGGAAGGGGCGAGGGGCCGGCGAGAGAAGAGTGCACGCACTGCCTTGCAAGTTGCCCAGGTCCGTGGTCTGGAGCCGAACCGGCTGGATGATCTTGTCCAGGTCGGTAAGGCGCCGCTCGAAGCGTGCGATCGTCTTCAGCTAATGGGGTTGGCCAGCCGGGCGTTAGGGGAGAGGGAGGAGAGACCGGAGGAGCACCTTTTACGAGCACAAGAAGTGTATGTATGTATGTATGTATGTGTGTGCGTGTGCGCACGCGCAAATGAGGCGAGGGAAGAGGTACATCGCTGGCTTGCGAGCAGAATGCAAACGCACCAGGTTCGCCGCCAGCTGCTTGCTGCGTTGCAGTTCCTCGCTAAGGGCATGTGTTTGGGAGGTGTCGATCGCGGAGTGGCCGTGAAAGGCGAAGGACGCCGGGCTATCCTGCATATCTGGGCTGAGCGGGGGCTCCCCACCGAGGTCCGACCGGCCATCATCTCCGATTGCAGGATCGATCGCCAGGGGGCTCAGAACTGGGCCGGACTTGTTGCTCGAGATTGACGAGCTCCGTGGCCGGAGACGTGAAGGAATCATGTCCGAAGGGAGGAAGGTACGAGGGAGGCGGGCGGGTGGTGATGGGTGCGCCCTCCTGCGACGCAGGAGACCAGCGGGAGCGGCAGGGGGGTTGAGGACAAGGGCAAGAGGCGCAAGGAAGCCTGGTCGGCGAGGGGGGG